GTGCTGTACAGCTGTACTCTGCAGCTGTGCTGGTCCATATAAGGACACATGTGCTGTACAGCTGTACTCTGCAGCTGTGCTGGTCCATATAAGGACACACGTGCTGTACAGCTGTACTCTGCAGCTGTGCTGGTCCATATAAGGACACACGTGCTGTACAGCTGTACTCTGCAGCTGTGCTGGTCCATATAAGGACACACGTGCTGTACAGCTGTACTCTGCAGCTGTGCTGGTCCATATAAGGACACATGTGCTGTACAGCTGTACTCTGCAGCTTTACCTTCTTGCTGCAGCTGCTGCAGCCTCGCAGGTGCAGTGCCCTCAGGTGTGAAGTCTGACAGCTGCTGCCTCAGCTGCTGCAGCTGCGTGTCTTTGTGCTGCAGCTGCACCTGCAGCAGCTGTAACTGAACTGCCAGCGGCACGATCATCAGATGCTGCATCTGATGGATGAATTACACTTGATATACATGGGTGCTAATATACATGGGTGCCAATATACATGGGTGCCAATATACATGGGTGCCAGTATACATGGGTGCCAGTAAACATGGGTGCTAATATGCATGGCTGCCAGTATACATGGTGCCAATATACATGGTGCCAATATACATGGCTGCCAGTATACATGGGTGCAATATACATGGGTGCCAATATACATGGCTGCCAGTATACATGGGTGCCAATATACATGGGTGCCAATATACATGGCTGCCAGTATACATGGTGCCAATATACATGGCTGCCAGTAAACATGGCTGCCAATATACATGGCTGCCAATATACATGGGTGCCAATATACATGGGTGCCAATATACATGGCTGCCAGTATACATGGGTGCAATATACATGGCTGCCAATATACATGGCTGCCAATATACATGGCTGCCAGTATACATGGGTTGTGCTGCAAGGCAGTAAGGCAGTCACCTGCATGTGCTGCAAGGCAGTAAGGCAGTCACCTGCGTGTGCTGCAAGGCAGTAAGGCAGAAAGTCCAGCAGTAAGGCATGTCCTGGTCAAGTTGGTCCCGAAGCTTCAGGGTCAAAATATCATCATGAGAATGCCAGGTCACCTCCACGCGACATCCTGCAATAAGAAAAAAATTATTGAAATTAATTGTACAATTTCTCCTGACAAAGAAACGAGGAATTGCGTTTGAAAGATAAAAATTTGTTAATGATAATTTAGGCAAAAGATAACGTTCCAAACCGATGCGTTTCAATTCTAATCGCCCCATGTTATCGTGTAACGCAACAACCTCATGGCAATGATTTCTGCCCTTAATTCTGTCAAGTATTATTTAGATGGCTTCCATTTTACTAAAGCCGTGATTATTTTACCAGGTATTAATATGGATTGTTGCTTATCAAATCAGTCTTCAAACGCACAATTCTGAACTCGAAACCATTTAAAAAAATTATGAGCATGAAACGACCGAATTTCTGGCCTCAAGCAGAGCCATGTGGTGCGGTGGTGAGAGACTCTGTCTCTCGCGCCCAGCGCCCGGGTTCGAGTCCCACTGAGGACAAGTTCTTCCGGGAAGCTCAGCTCATGGTCAACTCAGCCATTCATCCAAATCTGGTAGATAAATGAGTACCTGGCTTGTCCAGGGTGTTGTGTAATGCAACCAAATGGTTCTGGTGGGTCAGCGAGCCAGTGATGGTCGTGGAACTACCAGTGGTACTGAGTGCCCGGAAAAACTGACCTATCACCCCCCCCTCCCTAGTCGCCACAGCCAGGATGGGCTATTAGCCTATTACAACAACATGTACGTGTACCGCTCGATATTGTGATCGACCGCTAACTCCGACCGCTCGATATTGTGATGTTACCGATGGTGGGGAGACTAAGTCATTCACGGGTGCGAGTGCCTGAGAACATGGGCATCTTTATCACTGTGCATGTGAATCTTCATCGCTGATTTCTTTCTCGGTGCATTCGTTCCAATAGTTTATTGATCTCACTGTCTGTGAGTTCATTGCAAAAACTAAATGAAATAAGAAGCATGAGCGCAGCGTAGAACCCGAGAACCTCCCACCTCTGCAGCCCGTGGAACACTGACAACGTGACTCTGACTGGCGCACAGTTCGCTGCCGACACGCTGAGCAGCTCACTCGGTGGTAAAAGTTAAAACGTAGTTTGCTAAATGACCTGCCTAATTATTATGGATCAAAATAGCTAAAATATCATTGATCCGACACCAAGAACAGATCTCAGTTGAAGTGTATCACGACAGATAAGGCTGCGAGATTTGTGGTTAATTTTTTTACGGATGTTATTAGAGATGAAGGGCGTTTACCGCCCACCCGATGTGATTAGGGTTAATACAGATGGTGTAAAATGGCTACAAGTTCAAATTTTTGCCTAAAGAATAAAAGAAACGGTACTGTATTGCATACTGGTTATTCGGCAAATTCACCTTCAAAAATGACGGAAATTTAAGTCAGCATTTAATTCGTAAGATTTCGAAGCGTTCATTCAGTAGCATTAAGTGAGAGACTAGAGACAAAGCAGAGTAATTATCTTGTACCAACAACGATATAGAAAATTTTGGTGATGCAAGAACATTTGTTCAGGAATTTACGACAGGCCAGCGTAAGAGGGGAGAGCTTTGATGTACGGGGAAAAAATGATGCAGCATTGGAGACGAATATTTTACTCAGCAGATGTATATAGCAGCAATATTTTGCTGAGCAGATGTATATAGCAGCAATATTTTGCTGAGCAGATGTACATAGCAGCAATATTTTGCTCAGCAGATGTATATAGCAGCAATATTTTGCTGAGCAGATGTATATAGCAGCAATATTTTGCTCAGCAGATGTATATAGCAGCAATATTTTGCTGAGCAGATGTATATAGCAGCAATATTTTGCTCAGCAGATGTATATAGCAGCAATATTTTGCTGAGCAGATGTATATAGCAGCAATATTTTGCTCAGCAGATGTATATAGCAGCAATATTTTGCTGAGCAGATGTATAGCAAAGAGAACTTCTGGACTGAACGAGCCTGACTCAACAGCGATTGTGGGCCTGCCGGCGACTTACTTAGAACCTGCGGGTGATTGTCGAGTGGCTGGTGATTGCGAGCGCCCACTCACCGCGTGCTGAGTGGTCACCTGCCACTCACCGCGTGCTGAATGGTCACTTGCCACTCACCGCGGGCTGAATGGTCACTTGCCACTCACCGCGTGCTGAATGGTCACTTGCCACTCACCGCGGGCTGAATGGTCACCTGCCACTCACCGCGTGCTGAGTGGTCACCCCGCTGTGAGTCACCTGCCACTCACCGCGTGCTGAGTGGTCACCCCGCAGCGAGTCACCCGCCCCCTCAGCGGCGCTCAGCAGCGCCCGCAAGACAAGCTCGGCAACCTCGCCTGCAGCGGCCGCCACGCACGCCGCCCACTCCTGCCGCCTCGGACACGTCAAATGCACGTCCAGAAAATATCTACACGATTAATAACATGATTCACATATAAAAAAATTTGACGAAAATCTCTACACAATTATTAATATTACAATTCAAACATAAAAAAATTGTGGTGGTCACATCGCTTATTTTTCATTGTCAAAAAATTTGACAATGAACAGCATCAAAAAATGACACTAAACACATAAATTCCGCGACCCGAGGGCGGGGCGACTCTACACAAATAATAACACGATTCACACATAAAAAGAATGTGGTGGTCATATCGCTCATTGTTTATTGTAAAAAAATTTGACAATGAACAGCATAAAAATTACAATAAACAAATAAATTCCGCGACCCGAGGGCGGGGCGACCTGCCTAGCGACGACTTGGAGACGGAGGACGACGAAGGTGGCGCATCAGCGTGACCGTGGACTGAGAGGTCATTAACTCATGATAAGGTCATATGAAATTGTAGTCATATTCACAAACGGTTTAGTTGCAGCAAGGCTCATAATATGAAAGGTAAACATTATTAGCGTACCTGAGCTTTCTCCTCCACGTATTCGCTGCTACGATTTTCAATCCAGCCTCTTATGCCGTCTGCAAAATTAAGATCATTCTTACAACATAGAACTTAGAAAATTACACAGAAATATAACTTAATTAAATGCCAAATCTCAGAATAAATTTAACTGTTTATATATGAAGGTGAAATCTATCGAGATTTTAATTAGCACATAGAACTTAGAAAGTTATACAGAACTATAATTTAATTAATTTCAGAATAAATTTAACTGTATAAATATGATGGTGAAATATATCGAGATTTTAATCATCAACTGGAAGACCACTTTGCTAGTGGTACTGAATTATTATTTATGGCCAATCGTAAAAAATTCTCTGATAACGATCTTTAGTTGAAAAATATCTGATGTGGGCAGTTCGTCTTATGTCTATAATAGGAGAAGATTAGTTTTGGATGGCAGAATTAGTTGATTTATACGCGTGCGATTAACGACCAGAGAATTCGTTGATTCAAATTATCAAAGAGTCCGGCAATTCTTCAGATGACGTTGGTAGATCGAAAGGCATATATCAGGAAGTTTTAGTTTATTAACGACGTTTCGAATGTAACAAACATTCATTTTCAAGTTACAAAGAGCATTAAATATTGAAGTTTTGGTGGAAATAAGTACATAATTATTATGTACTTATTTCCACCAAAACTTCAATATTTAATGCTCTTTGTAACTTGAAAATGAATGTTTGTTACATTCGAAACGTCGTTAATAAACTAAAACTTCCTGATATATGCCTTTCGATCTACCAACGTCATCTGAAGAATTGCCGGACTCTTTGATAATTTGAATCAACGAATTCTCTGGTCGTTAATCGCACGCGTATAAATAGGAGAAGAGTGTATTTAGGCAACATATATACTTTAGTTTATAAAATATAAAAAAATCCAGCAGCCACTATGTCGTCAGGCAAACAAAAAGCAGTGAAATTAATAATAATATATTGGATTTTTGTAATAGGCATGTCAAGTTTCCATAGCATATTATTGCAGTCTAAGATGAGTCCCGGTATGCATTTTATCTCGAAACATTTTTGGTTAATAGATAACACCTTTTTAACACATCACATACTAAAAGCGTCTTCATTGATACTAAATTGCTAAAATCTTTCCTGAAATTAAATCATCGACCTGAAATGACTTGAATTATTGATGTTTTCCCAGTCTATTTTTGATCCTGTACATTGTATATTGATATTTTATATGATTTTCCGTCGCTATTTTAACGCTCAGCACCACGACAGGTGCTAGTTGGGGCCATCGTTTTTCATTAAACGTGAAATATTTTTTGCTATCACACAATTTCTTAAACCCTAAACTACAATTTTTACTCTCTACTTTATTCAAGAGCATTCATTTGTCTTAACATAATCGGTAACTTTTTCCAAAAAGAATTTTACATCACGCATTTTCTTAAACACTAAACTACAATATTCACACTCTACTGGATTCAAGCGCATTTATCCTAACATACTCGGTAACTGTTCAAAGATAATTTAACATCACGTATTTTCTTAAACCATAAACTACAATTTTTACTCTCTACTGGACTCAAGAGCATTCATCATCACAACAAAACTGGAAACTTAAAAAAAAAAATTTTACATCACGCATTTTCTTAAACCCTAAACCACAATATTTACTCGCTACTGGATTCAAGAGCATTTAACATAACATAATCGGTAATTTTTTCAAACATAATTTTCAATATCTCAAAACATTTACTCGAAACATTTACCATCAACATTTAACATTTACCCATTATCACAAGAATATATCCTTAACATTTAACATTTACTCAAAACATTTACCCGTTATCACAAGAATATATCCGTCCCCCCGAGTGGTCCACTTGATCATCCAGTGCCCCCCCAGAGCCGGCCACGGCTGCCATGCCGCATCGTCCAGCAGAGGGCTAAGAGCCACATGTTCGTCCACTTCATTGGTAGACATTTAAAATGATTCTCGTTCTACGGCAAATATTTGATTACTTTTAAATAATTTATAAGTTGGATTCAATTTTTAAGAGGTCAATAATAGTAGACATTTAAAAATGATTCTTGTTCTACGGCAAATATTTGATTACCTTTAAATAATACGTTTGATTCAATTTTCAAGAGGTCAATAAGAAACATTGAATGACTGAGCTACAGGCAATGAACGGGCTATTAGAATATCTGAAAAAAAACAAGCGATTAAATTTCATTTAACATCTATAACAGGAAGTTGTGTGGATTATAAGATCATAATTTAACTGAGCTATTCAACTCTAATAAGATTTAAAATAAAATCAAAGTATTTATGAAAAGCAGCACTGTTTAATCTTAAAGAACTTTTGAACATACACATTTTTAAATTTCACACGTACAAAAACACATACATTTAATTTTTCACTGGTTTGCACTGCTAGAAAGCAATGTTTTTAACTTCAAACCATTCCAATAAAATTTCCTATCTTTCAGAGTCAAGGATCAAAATATCATTGCATATATCAATCTAATATTGCACAATTGAAACATGCAATGAGGAGAGTAACTCAATTTCACATATATCATAAATAAAAGAAATTAAGTGGAGTTTTGAGAGCCTAGGCAATCTATCAAAGCAATAACAATAAAATAAATATGATGGGGTCTGACTTTTGAAAAATGGTTCATGATATTTTCATGTCAACAGGTGGGGTATTAGTAAGAAACCCACTGTGACTTCTCCCAGGAAGCTGTGCTGTTCTTTTGAAGATTATCAGTGAAAGAAGTTATCTTTGAGTCAAGTTTATTGTAATTACAGAACACAAGACAGAGACAAAGATTTTTTTTACAAACTGAGTGAATAATAATGCTTAAGAGCATAGACAGGCAATGTCTTCCAACATTATCCAAAAGCTCAAGTAGACACAGAGAATTAAAATGAATACCTACTATTCCAGTCAGTCTTTAGACACACAGACATCAGGACAGGTTCTTTTTTATCATACTGAACCAAGCGAATTTACTTTACAATTGTTTTGAGGAATAAATAACCAGGGATGCTGGGAATTGGGAATTGGTAAATATAAATAACAACTAAATGCTTAGAAACAGACAAGCATAAGTCTTATTGTAAAATCACTCAAAATTAAAATGTAACTTTAGAAAATGAGTAAGAAACAATGACTTAAGAGAAATTATATGGTAAAACAAGAATTTTATGATGCTTTTGTCTATTAAAGACAAAAATCTGTAATAATTTATACTCTAATAAGAAGTAATTAGAGAAGGAACCCTGATAATACTAACGAATAAGATTGAACAGCATTGAATAACAGAACAGAGATAAATATTAATGAAATATCAGGACGTGACTTATTAGAAGCACCGCATCACAGGTCAGGATGCAATACAATCAGCCTATAAGAAGCCTGCAATACAGTAACTTAGTACGTAAATATATTGTTTTCTTCTGTTTCATCCATACTTGATCAGGCTTAAAAGAAGAGATCAAAACATTTTCAATGTAATAGAGGCATTGAGGTTGGATGGTTTAAAAAAAACATTGAACATTCAAGGCTGTATGTAGTGGCACATTCATATGCATTTGTGCTGGAAAAATTCTTTATGAAATGATGAGCGAAATAGCAGCAACATTTTACCAATTTTTTTTTACATTTTACCAATATGAGCTTCAGCATATCAAGAGGCACACTGAACATCACAACTGAAATATTTAAGGTGGCATGTTCATTCTGGTACCTTTATTCAATTATTTTACATGCAAATATAATTTAACATATAGGATTAATAAGCAATCAGCTGAGGATATTTACAAAAAATGAATATGTGGAAGAGAATCTTTCAGTAGGTACGTATTATTATATCTTGACACTTGTAATAAAACTTTATTTTAAAACATTTGAAGCATGCAGAGTATACTCATCCATTACTAACCATACTCTGAAGTCCTCCTTTTCCTTTGTAGATGATGTAGATGTAGACTAAATGACATTTCTGTGATTTTTACTTGTTTTTCCTTTATTAATATGATATTACCATATCCATACAATATCGTTTTATTGATAGTATATACTTTTAAAGATTTTTTGGAGAAATAAATCATCATTTAGATTAATTACTTTTCATTTTATGTTGCCTGGTGCACAATTCTATCTATGACATTCTCTGCACAATTTTATGATGACCAATGATGCATTATTTTTTTGTTAAGTGAAATTTTTTCGCTGAGTAAGGTAAATATAATCAAACTTTTTGTTGTTAATTGATTTTTTTGTTAATTGGAGCCTTTGCTTTTTAAGGTTCTACTGTAAATATGCATTTAGTGGTGTCTCTTAATACTACGGGGAGGTGTCCTTTATTGCCCCGTCAGAAATGGTTGCCATTTTTTCAATGAGATATGCAAATTCTGTCAATCACGTTTTCAAGCCAACACCTGTGTGCAACTTTTGTATAAGTAACATTTTTTTAGAGGTAGTAAATGTAGGATTTTTTTAACTTGCTTTATGCTACATAGATAGTAAAAATGTTGAACTTTATGCCACTATTTTTAGTTTTGCAATATTTTGATTAGTTTAGCTGCTACAACATTTCTACAAAATGTGGGACAACTGTCCCAATTTACCCCACCCGTCCCTTATTACCCTGTTTGATAGTATTTGCTGACTCTGCAGCCTGGTCATTGTAGTAGTGATATCAGACCTAATTTGAAATTTTACCGCCCTGACAGACATACTAAATTTCAATACTTGCGTGGAATTGGGCTTCAGTGTACACAAATGGATTTGGGATGAATAGGTATCTACTGTATGGTATATCTTACAACAGAATTGGTTAATTTTCCTAAAATTAACTTTATTCCTTCTACAGAACCAAAAAAAAATTGCTGCATGTGGGGCCCTTACAACACAGCATGCTCAGCAGCCCTAGATATCTGCTAAGCTAACTAAGCAACAATTGGATTTTATTATCAGAAATATTTTAGGAGAAAAATAAATGTTAACTAGTATTTTTTAAACAATCTTTACTAACAAGCAGAAGAATTGACCAATGAGCAAGGTTAATATTATGTAATTTAGTATCTTTTGCATTTAGTACATTTGCAAATGTTTTGAAAATACTACATACTATTACTGTGTAGTATTACTTGCATTGTTGCATGTCAGCATAATGTACTAACAAAATCAGACATGAATAAATGTTGAAACGCAATTGAACGTTGGTCCCGGTACAGTAGCCACTGCTGTTTTGAATATCTGGCTTCAGCTCACACAACTTCCTTGCTTTACACTTAGAACTTCATATGGATTTTGTTTCCTAGATTGTGCTGCAGAGTTAATTTCATGAATTAATTAATGAAATAAATGAAAGTAATGAAATTAATTAAACTGATGAAATTAATAAAATTAATTTAACTAATTTCATTAATGAAATGAATTTTGATTCATTGAATGAATTTTAACTCATTTCATATTTTATGTGTCTTTTGAAATTATTGGTAACTTTTGCATTCAATTTTATATGCAAAAAATGTGCCTATATTTTTAGAGTTCAATTTTGAATCGTCAATTTTTCATTTATTATTTCATGCATCCAGAAGACTGGAATTAGTAGGTAGCAGCATTTTGCAGCCCAAGCCACCTGCAGAGTTTGTTAACAGGCACATGAATCCATCTGTTATTATATTTCTTCCACTTAGGATGTAACTGCCAGCCCTTTGTACATGCTTTATAGTCTAGACCAGGAACTGGACTAGACTAGAGCTTTTCCAGATTCCTGCCTTTGGCATTGTTGGAACATGCAATATTGCAGTCTCATTATAGATTAAGTACCTCCCATCTAATTCTTATAAAAGTGCACAATCAAGTTACAAGATATAAAATTTTTCAAAATATGTTACTCATAAAATTTCAGTACTGGCATTAACTAATTGGTAAGAATTTCCCAATCTTATCAAGATGAAATATCTTATATGCAATTCTTAATAAAAGCATCCTATCATGAAGCATGATTCAAAATTTATTATCAATGTCTTTGGAGCCATGAAATTTCAGGAATGAGAAGAAAAGTTTGTCCTTGGCCTGCTCAGTGTGAGCTGCTTGCTCCAGCTGTAGGTATATTTAAGCAGCTTTAATGATTCTGTTTCCACAAATCATGCAATATGCATGTTAATTCCAATAATCTCATGCATGACAAGTTGCATGAACAATACCACATATTAATTCTCTAAATTTACAAGGGTGTTAGGTTTTTAAAGTCATTGAAATCATGCAATGGGAATTACTTTAAGCATGCCGCAAACTGCAAACTGAGCAAACAGTACCTAGTACTCTATGCAATGCATGCCAGATTCCAGCTTTACATAACTTCACACTTAGTTCATATTCCTGTGGGTAAGAACACTAAAAGTCATAGCCACCCATGAAGTCAACTGCTCCTGCTCCAGGGTGCAAAAAGTGGGTGAATATCTGATGATTTTTGGCAATGCATCAGCGGCAAGATTTACGCCATCAGACGATCTTGCTAACACATTTGGATTGAAATTATTGCATTTTAGATATTTGCAAATCTTTGGCGCTGCTAACCGCAGAACAGAAGGTACACCAGTGGCTGCATTGTTTTTTTAAATTTCTAGTTGATTGGATGAGGCAGCAATGCAAGAGCCACAACTCGGTAATTTTGGTTGTGGTGCAAATATCTACTGCAATACCAAGGATGGTAAAGGTACACTACGAAAGAAATTCATACAAACATAATGGCTAACAATTTTAGTGAAACTCCAATGGATAAAACTTCGGATCCAACAATATAGAATTACAGAACTGCAGTGGATGCAGTTGAGGGAACTGAAATTAGAAAAGCAGACATTGATAAATGAATGCTGGAGATTGAGAAATTATAACACCTCAAATGAAATAACGTATACAGCCAAAATAATGTCATGCTGGCTGCACTCAAGGATTAGAGCACATGGCAAAAGCAACGAGGATACCAGAGGCTATAC